CTGAGGCCAAAGGCACAAGTTCTGCTGCTCTGCCCATCACTGGGGCCAAGGAGCACAGCCAGGAGCTGCGCTTTGGCTCTGCAGGGCTCAGACCCAGGGAATTTGCCCCCCACCAGCTGCCCTGCATTGAAGTGAGCACCGCTGTGTCTCTTGGGCATCGTCATCCAGGCTGCAGAGGAACTGAGGCATGGACTCCCAGTGTCCTTCTCCAGGAGGGAGCTGCATTCTGCCTGCACTGCCTTTTCCTCTTCCCAGGTCTGTTTCCCAGCAGGGATTCCCAGGATTCCCCATCCCTCTGTCCCCATTCTCTGCCCCTTGGCTCAGGGCACACAGCCACTCCTGCTGTGGCACCAAACGTCCCAACAGAGATTAAACCATCCCCATAGCTTTAACAAGCTGCTGGCAGAAAAACAGCAGCCAAAGGCACCCAGGGAGTTACCCTTCAAAGTCAGGGACCCCTTTCTCACTGGAAGCAATGTTTGGACAGACATCACAGGTTTTCCACTCTCTCCCTCTTTTTTGCACGCTAGGATTTGCTTGCACAAAGCTGCATTGGGTTCTCGAAGCCAAGGCGGCCGCAGAGCCTGCTCCCCACCTGAAAAAAACATCTCTTCCCTCTGACCTCATCCCAACCGTTGCCACAACAACCCCAGCTGACGTCATCAGCGCAGTGTTGGGGCTTCAGGTGGGGAAGGAGCAGAGCTGAAACCACAGAAGGAGCTCAGTGAGAGCCAGAAAGGAAATGAGGGGAGATGGGGGAAGGAAAACTCAGCAACAGCACGGCAGCAAGACAGGGGATGGCTTCCAGACTGCAGGCCCGGCTGGTTGTGGGCCAGCAATGCTGCAGAGCCCCACACCCATCCCAAGGTGTGGGGTGGGGCAGGGGAAGCCCCCAGATCGGTTCCTCCTGTAGGCTCCACACTGCTCCTCTGCTCCCTTCATGGGGCAGGGCTGCACTGCTTGCTGAGCAGTGCGCTCCTGGGGTGCTGGGCTGGCGTCAGGATAAAGCCAATCTTCTGTTTCATTAAGGTTTCATTAAAGTATTTCACTCCTTCCAAAGGATCTTCTTGCAGAACATTGTCTGGAATGCCAACAGCGTAAGTCTGTCTGTCTGCATGTGAAGGATGGCACCGAGGGAGTCAGGGAGCTCTTTAGAAGGAAACCCATCCTCAGACAAATGCAGTTTGACCAGCACTGGGCAGACCCCAAACCAGGCCCGGCACAGCAGGGCACACGGCCACATCCCACCCCCAGCCCTGCATGGCAGAGGGCTTTATCCCATCCTGGAGCCCACAGATCTGCTGCACTGTTTTGTAGCTCAGCCCAGAGGAAGGGCGTTCAGAGCTCTCAGGAAGTTGGATTTGCAGTTTTAAGAGACTGGAAATGCTGGGTGAGCTGACTTGCTGGCAGCACTGAGGGCATCAGAAAAGAGCTGCTCCAGCTGGTTCCCCTCGTGGGCTCACCAAAACCCACCCCAGGAGGGCAGAGAGCAGCACACCAGGCACGGGCTGAGCTCCAGCAGAAGATGACCCTGCTTGCAGGCAGCACATCGGCGCTGATCTCTGGGGCCATCAAGTCCCAGCAACTGGGACGCAGTTCCTGGCAGTTCCCAAATCTCGAGCCGAAAGCAGCAGCAGCCCCTCAAGAGATACCTGCATTCCCTCTGCTCGGTAGCACAGCAAACCCGTCTGAACCCTACGCACCAGAGGCAGCTGACCGCGAGCGGGGACCCGGCGGCACGGCCGGGCTCGGCACGGAGCGGCTTTCTCCAGCAACAGTCTGGCTCTCTCTGGTGGCTGCTCGGGCCCTGTGCAGCCTCTCTGCTCCTGCCCAGCACTCGGCGCCGCGTCCCCTACCGCAACCCCGTCCCAGCCCTGCGGGACCCCGCGGTGCGCTCGGATGGCGCGGACACAGCCCGACCTCCCCGGGTGAGAGACGTCGGGACGTGGCTGCCCCCGAAGGTCCAGCGCGCAGTCCCTCATCTGGAGGGTGCAGCCACCCCCAGTGCTGCTTAGGATCCATCCGAAAAACAACAACTGCACACTGCATGGGGTAATGGAAAAATGTGCCAAAGAGTGCGAGTGGAACCACCGAGGACTCATAGAATGGTTTGGGTTGGAAGAGACCTTTAAGGCCCATCTGGTCCCGCTCCGATGGGACACTTGCAGCTCAGTTGGTGCAGGAGGGGCAGGGTGTGACTGAGGACATCCTCTGAGACCCCAGTGTGTGCTGAAGATGCTTTGATGATGACCTGAATGAGGAGCACCTGTGAGCCTGCAACCCAGCACTATTGCTGTCCACCCACCCCATTTACCTATCCATCCATGCATCTACCCATCTATCCTTCTGTCTGTCCACCCCTCTGTCCATCCACCCACCTACCCATCCATCCATCCTCCTGTCCATTTAACCATCTGTTTATCCATGTGTCCATCCATCCACCCACCCATCCATCCATCCATCCATCCATCCATCCATCCATCCATCCATCCCTCCATCCATTCATCTGTCCATCCATCCATCCATCTGTCCAACCATGCACCTACTCATCCTCCCACCCATCGATCCACCTGTCTGTCCATCCATCCACTCACTCACCAACCCATCCAGCCACCCATCCAGCCACCCACCTACCCATTTGTCTGTCCATCTATCCAGCCACCCACCTATCCACCTGTCCAGCCACCCATCTATCCGTCTGTCTGTCTGTTCATCCATCCACCCACCCGTCCACCAATCCACCCATCCGTCTGTCCATCTATCCATCCACCCACCCATCCAGCCACCCATCTACTCATCTGTCTGTCCATCCATCCATCCATCCATCCACCCATCCACCCACCCACTATCTATCCATCCATCTGTCCATCCATCCATCCACTCACCAACCCATCCACCCACCCATCTCTCCACCTGTCTGTCCATTCATCAATCCACCCATCCACCCATCCAGCTACCCAGCTATCCATCTGTCTGTGCATCCACTCACCCACCCACCCATCCATCCATCCTCCCTCCCACCCCGGCCCCACGGCAGAGCCCGGTCGCAGCTCATCACAGCCCTGCAGCCCGTCTCCCTCCTCCCCTGCACCCACTGGCAGTGCTGGCACTGCTCTGTTTGGTGGGTGGCTCACATGCTGTAATTAAGAGCCCTTCTCTCCCGCCCGCCCGAGCTCCGTCTCCAGCAGCTGTTGTTTCAGCGAAGGAAACCCCCTTTCGTCCTCTCTCTCCTTTATGATGCTTTTTTTTTCTCCCTTCTGAACATAAAGGGATGACAGTGCTCCAAGCCGGGGTCTTTTGCATTTCTGAGTTGGTTCTGTTAATTGGAAGGAGGGTTAAGAATCTGCAAGGTCGTTTCAATCTACATCTGACCTTCAGAGTAATCCTCTATGCCAACACCAGAGCATGTCATTAAAATGAGGCCCTCTACCATATCCCAGCATCCCTTTATTCTCTCCTTGTGCACATTAATTGCTCATAAGTTGATTTGATCTCCCTATTCTGCAAGAAGTAAATTGCCCTCTTATTTCGCCATTTTCATCCTGTTTTCTTAATTAGGCCCTTAAAAATCTCTAGGGCCTCAGCCGGGCCGCGGGCCTCATCCTGGGAATAAATTTTGATCTCTGCCTGATAAAGAGTGAGCAAACCCAGAGATGGAACAATGTCACCCCCCCCCCCATGCTGTTCTCCTGACATGAAAAGGCTATCAGTTTTTCTCTGTGTTAATATAGGAAATCATTCACACTTCAGGCACTGTTCTCTATTTAGCGCTCACGCTCCCCAGATAAATCAGGGTGGGTTCTTTTTTCCCAGTCCCTGAGCCCCTCCTTCCCCCCCCCTCCAACTCCTCTCTCGCTTTTCCCCTTTTCCCTTTAATGAAGTTTCCAAGATCAGCCCCTGCGATTTTCCACCCTGGGAAGCCTATTTTAAGGCAGGATTTCTTTATATTTCTCTTTCCCTGTGCGTGTGTGTGCTTAACCCAGCAGCGGTGGGAGCAGAGGGGGCAGCACATCGCACCCAGGGGTACCCCCACCCAACGCCGCCCACCACCACACATACCTGCCCTTCCCAAGGCTCTAATTAACCAGCAGAATGCTAATTGGAGGTCCAGCACCCCAAAATCCAACCCTAGGAGAAATGGGGATGCAGCCCCAACACGACTGCAGGAGCACAGCTCCGAGTGCCCCCAGGAGAAACAGCCCACACCACGACGCTCCAGTATGTCGTAAATAAATATATTTTAATGATTCTTCTTCCATTCCAGTTCATTCTTTTATACATTTCTTTATAAAACAGTAGTAAAATTTCTTTTTTTTTTTTTTTTAATCAGAGCACAGTGCATTAAAAAATAAAACAAAAAAAAAAAAAACAACAAACAAAACCTCCAAAAAAGATTTAAAAAATAACAATAATCCACAGCTGCTTGCTCACGCACTGGGAGATGCCCCCAGCAGCAGGAGGGCCTGGCACAACCATCCTGGAGGACATCATCCCGCCCTGGAGGACCCCTGATCCATCCTGGAGGACGTTGTCTCACCCTGGAGGGCCGCTGTCCCATCCTGGAGGAGCTCTGTCTTTGCAGGCACTAACGGCAGTGATGCCCAAAGGCCTCTGGTGAACACACAGGTTGAAACAGCCCCAACTCCACTGGCCCCTGCCAGCCCTGCTGCCATCTCTGCCCCTTCCCTCCTCTCCCCCCACCCTCCACACTTCCCCCCACCCTCCACACCACACAGGCACCTCTCCCTCGGGAGCTGGCTCACACATCCCTTCCCCACCTCACCCCACTGCTCCCCATCCTCATGGTGGAACAGGGCACACACTGACCCCCACACAGGCTCCTGCTCTCCAACACCCAACCTCCCCCCAGCCCCACAGCGCTGCGCTGTGATGGGGCGCTGCAGAGGGCTCCATGCAGCCTTCCCTGGTGCTCCCCTTTGCGCTTCACAGATCAGTGCAGTATTTTTGACTTTTCCCCCTCGCACCCCCAGCTCCCCCCCCTTGCTGCCAGGGAAGCAATGACCAACACCTCACAGCCCCACCGGTGAGGCTGGGAGCATGCTGCCAACAGTGGAACAAGAAGTAATGCTCAGGTTTAGCAATGGGCACAGATCCCCCCCTGGCATGGCTGCCATGCTGATGCAGGGCAGGACGTTGGCTCTCAGTATGCATGCAAAGAATCAGCATCAAAACCACATGCTGCTCCTGAGCTGAGAGCATAGTGTGGTGTTTCAGGGCAGAGGCACTTCTGTGGGGTGGAGGCTGATGGACACAGTGCTGCTGGACCTCCACGACATCAAAGCGACAAAATTCCATAGGACATCCCCTCCCATGCCCTGGGAATTTGCTTGCTCCACTGGAGCACCGCTTCTCCCCACTGCCCTGGAGAGGCACTGTCAGGAGGAGCCCCAGCAGGGAGGTGACACTGTGACAAAGCCATCAGTGGCACTGCAGGGGAATTCTGGGAGGGGGCAGCGAGGCAGAGAGCTGTGAGCATCACAACCAGGACGTGGAGCTCCGAGCCCACACAGGGAGCACAGCAGGGACACAGTGGGAGGCGAAGCAGCCGAGATCATGCTGCCTGGCTGGAAAAGCTGCAGCCAGGCCAACGCCACGGCAAGCCAAGAAGGTTGGCTCCAGCTCTGGGCAACAAAAAAGCTTGCAAAAGACATGGTGGTACCCGGTGAGCCTTGAAGCGAGACCCCCGTTGCATAGAGAAAATGTACTCCTATGTAGATTCAAGTGCTCAGCAGGACGGGCTCCTCCCCCAGGAGGAAGAGTGCCCCGTGACTTCACTAACCAAACTCGAAGGCCCAGTCCTCGCCCCCAGCGCGGGCGCAGCTCCTCGTCACAGCATGTCCGCGTCCTCCATGCTGAAGCTGCTCCGGCGACTGCTGGCCTTGGAGGCCTCAGGGGACACGGCCGAGAACAGGGGGTCGGAGGCCAAGGGCAGCATGGTATCCTGCAGCAGCATCAAGTCCAGCTCCTTCTTGGATAGGGAAGGGAAGGAAGCGCTGTGGCCGGGTTCCAGGCTGTCCGGGAAGCCCTGGGAGCCGTCGTCAAAGCTCAGGCTGTGGGTAAAGTCCAGCTGGTGGTAAGGAGACTGCGGCGGTGGAGGCAGCACCGGCTGTGACTCAGGGTCCGGGGGGGGCAGCATCCCCTCATCTGCACCGGCCTCTTGCTTGACCACCTGCTGAGCCAGCTCAGCCACGTTGACACCTGAGGGCGAGGAGGTGGGCAGCCCATGCACGCGCGCCTGCATCTCCAGCTCCTGCAACAGAAGACTTGGGTGGGACACGGCACACGGGGACAGAGCATATGGGGATGTGGTGCTTAGGGACACAGCACACAGGGACACGGCAGGTGGGCATCCATGGAGGCAGCAGGGAAGGAGGAAGGCACAGAAACTGAAGGCAAAAGAGGACAGAGGGACCGTGAAGCTCATTGGGAAGGAGCCTAAGGAAAAGTCTGGAACACCCCTGCAGATCAGGACAATGCCCACCCCAGCTGCCTGGTGACCTGTCAGCCTAGAAGAGAGAGCCCGGCACGCTGGACTGAAATGTTTCAGAGGCTGGAGAAAGCAGGAGGGAAGAGCAGAAGGAAACTCACCTGGATGCGGAGTAGCAGCTGCTTGTTTGTCATCTCCAGCCGCCGAGAGTGGTTCTCCAGGTCCCGCGATCTCTGCAGGTCCTTCTGCATCCTCTTGATGTAGTCCACAGAAGCTTTCAGGATCGTCCCTTTGTTCCAGCGCACGTCCCTGTGGTGCAGGATGGAAAAAGAGCTTGGCACCTGCAACTGTTTGTTCCCCAAAATAGCACCTCTTGCCACAGGGTGAGGAACACAATGCCCACTGCTATCCCAGCCCCACAGAAACCAGGGATACATACAGGTCATTGGCCTTGGGGATCAGCATCCCCAGCTCCTTGATGCGGTCATTGATGTTAAACCTTCGCCGCCTCTCGACTGTGGGGCGAGAAGAGAGGAGAGCAGTGAGGAGGGGGAGCACCTCGATACCTTCCAGTCCGGCTCCCACCCCAGTCAGCACCCATCCAACCTTCCCCCCATGCTAAAGGGAACAACAACAGGGTGCCCTCTGCACCATGAGTGCTTTGCAGAGCTGGGAAAGAAGTGGCTATGGGGGTATCTCCCTAAGAGTGAGATGAGATGGGAAGAGGACGCAGCTTGGAGAGAGGAGGAAGGAGGAAGAAGAGTGCCGAGGTCAGAGAGGTAACACCATGCCACCCATGGGCGGCCAGCACCCAACTCACTCAGGTTGTGATTGTCTTTCTTCTGGCGCTCCTTTGCCAGGGCTCGGCTCTCAGCATCTGAAATGGAGGCCCACAGTGTCATCCAGAGGGGATGAGGCTGCACCTTGCCCCATCAGCATCCCCCAGAACCATCCTCTGTGCCCACATGGACAGGGTCGCCCTGGCCAACCCCAGTCCTTGCTGCCACTGCAGTTCCCCACCGTGCACTGGGGCCAGGAACTAAAGCCGGTGCTGGGGACATACCCAGGTCTGGGGACATACCTGTCAGCTCTCTCTTCTGGGTGAGCTCGGCGGGGCAGGAGCTGCTGGTGACACCAACGAGAGAGGCGGTCACCTGGGGGTCCCCACTATAGACATTCATGTGACTGCTGGACATTGGCAGCTGAAAACCAAAGGGACAGGCAGGTAAGTTCCATCCGGGGCCAGGAGACAGACCCAGCTGTGGGATCGGGGTTCAAGCCCAGCTCCTCAGCCTCTTGGACGCAAGTGCACAGACAAGGCAGCTCTAATTGCCTTCCTCGGCACTTAAAATAGCTATAATCAGAGCAGCAAAGAAAAACAGGACTTCAAAGGGCACAGCTGGTGCCCTCCCACAGCCAGCATCACAAATGGGACAGATGAATCAGAGCTGACGAGGGCCCAGCAGGACAAGGAGGGCCCAGCAGGATGAGCCCCACATCACAGCACCGCTGCTGGCCAGACCTGGCCAGGGCTGAGACACAGCAAGCAGCAAAGCCCTCCTGACTCCAGACCTCCCCCGCCATGCTCTCCTCCTGCCTCTCTAGTATTTTATAAGTGCTGCAAACTGTCATTGAAGAGGAGCAGAAGCTGAAGAACTGGCTCTGGCAGCTGCAGAAGGGAGATCTCCTTCCCAGCCCCATATCAATGGGGCCATCCCACTTGTCCCATCTCTCCCCTGGGGCTGCTCTGGTGCCTGCTGCCCACTGGCACGATGACACATGGGGCAGCAGAGCCGAGGGACGTGGGCTGCTCTGTGTGGGCGATTTCCTGCCGGGATGAGAGCAGCCACGAGCTCCAGCACTGCTGCAGGGTCAGGGCTGGAGGACAGCCACCTCCCCGGACTCACCGTGTTGGGCATGTGGACCTCAGGGTTCATATAGCCCAGAACATCGTCCAGGCGCATGATGTCATCAATGACCTCATCAAACTGAAAGGGAAAGGCATCAGGTTGTCAGCGGGCTCCTCTGGGGCGGCTGTGCCCCCAGCGGCCCCTCCTCACCTCCCGCTCAGGGTTGGAGCCGATGTTGAGCATGGCCATGGGGCTGTTGGGCGCACTGTTGCCCGCCGAGGAGGACAAGACGTGGCCGGGCCGGACGCTGGGGGACGCAGCCGGGGGCGGCTTTGGCGAGTGGCTGGCAGGGCTGACGTGGGCAGCAAACTTGTTCCCATAGGTCTCAGAGAGATACGCCTGAACCTTCTTGTCCCGTGACTTCTGCAGGTGGTAGGTGGTGGGGTTCTCCAGGTAGGACTGCACCTGCGTGGGCAAAACCCGTCAGCATCCCTGCACCGCCGGGGGGTCCCTGCATCCCACCCCCCCGGCACCATACCTTGAGGACCTCTCCAGGCACGGGCGGTGGGGACTGGTAGTGGATGGGGGTGTTGATGGCGGGGGTGGAGGCCACCGGCATGCGCTGCTGCTGCATGTAGTTCATCATCAGCTGCTGCTGAGCGCGCTCCCGCTCGGCCTCCTGCTGTGCTTGCTGCTTCATCAGCTCCATCCGCAGCCCGATGCGGGATGCCATGGTGCAGCGGGGCGGTGGGATGCAGGCCAGGCACAGAGGTGACCCTGCAAGGAGGGAGGGGGAAATGCTGTGCATCAGGAACAATGGTAGGGAAACTGAGGTGCAGGGAGGGAGCAGGCATGCCTTGTGTGCTCTGCCTGAGCTGCAGGAGCGGCCCCGCATCCAACTTCACTATGTTGGGGCAACAGAGCCTCCAGTCTGCGTGCCGCCATCCGGGCACTGAGCACCGCTTGAATGCGGGTGAGTCAGACTCTAATGACAGACAGCTCTGCCTGCAGCTCCCCGGGCACAGCGAGGGAGGAGGGGACAGGGCACGTGGGGACAGCCTGGAGGAGATGGAGCACGGCGGGTCTTTGAGCCCAAGAAGCTCAGATGGGCATCTGCAGGAGCTCTCTGAGCCACCAACACTGAAACACAGCACAAAGCAAGAGCAACAAGCCAGATGCCAGGAGCAGCCCAAATCAGAACAAGAAAGCGAAGGAGGGCTGGGCAGAGAAGGCAGCGTGGTGCCAGGCACTGCACCCAGCAGCACGGGCAAACAACGCGGCTTTGTGCAGGGCCGGCACGCGAGCGGGGTGCAGGGACACACAGCACAGCCCTTGTTCCCCTGCACAAAGGGGATGGCGGCCCGGGGAGAGCAGGGGACAGGGCTGCTGGGAAAGGGGACAGCCGTGGGGTGAGGGGACAGCTGTGGGACGACCTGTCAGGGGTGTGAAGCGCTGCAAACCACGGTGCCAGGTTGCCACGTGGGGCTCAGATGGGGGCACGGAGCTGCTGTGTGGGACTGGGGCTGTGCAGAGTCCCCATCCCCTCTCGCAGCACACGGAGCACAGCCAGTCATCCAGGCTCTGGTTTACAGCCAGTCAGATCTGGAGGGCTCTGCTGTTTAAATACAATGCGTAATTGCAGACAAAGGGGGCACGGTGGGGACAACACACCAGGGCTTCGGAGAGGCATCTGATATGCAGTGCCACACAATATCCTAAGGGGGAAATTAAATCAAGCCAGCATGGACAGAAATACGATTACATGGATCAAGAGCCAGCTATTGAACGGCAAGAGGAAGGTAATTAATTAGACATGGTGGCCCATCCGAAGGGGGATGGGAGGAGCCTGGGACAGGCATCAGATGGAGCTTCGGAGCGGGGGGATGTGGGATGAGCAGCATCCCTAGGGGCTGGTGGGAGCCAGAGGGGCCACAACGGCCTGCAGTAAGCAACACGACGCAGTGGGGACACATCACAGCTCATGCACACGAGGGACACCATAACCCCAAATGCTGACTGCAAGGCAAGAAGGAAGGCCTCAGAGGACAGCCAGGACTTTGGGTAAACCATCCAAACAGCCAGAGCTAGAGGGGTAAAAGCACTGGCCCCAGACAATGGTGTTTTCTGGGATGTGTTAGCACCAGGGGACGGACGGATAGGATTTCAAGGGGAACCTTTGGGATCATCTGCCCTTTCCCAAGCAAACAGCTCCACATGGCCCCATGCCCCAGCAAGCTGCATCCTTGGCTAGGAGTGGAGTGACAGCACAGGGAGAGCAGCAGCAGGAAGGTGACCAACAAGTGGCCAGCATCTCGGGCACCTTGTCCCCCAGAGTGTGCAGGGAGAGCAGATCTGCCTTGCTCAGAGCACTCTGAGGCTCCCAGGGCACCTCTCAGAAAATGGGAGGCAGGAGGCTGCCATCCATGGCACAGCACTGCCATCCCATAGCACCACCCATCCCATAGCACTGCCCACCCCACAGCACCACCCATCCCATAGCAATGCCCACCCCACAGCATCATCCATCCCATAGCACTGCTCACCCCACGGCACCGCTCCCCCCAACCTGCCAGGCTGCAGGACCCCCCTAGCTGCCCCTTTGCAGGCAGTGGGGGCAGTGGGAGCAAAAAGTGCTCCTTGTCCACCTGTGAAAGCCCTGCATCTGTAGAGAAGGGATGGGGAAGGTGGTCAGAGTGGGGCTCTGCCCCGGCAAGCAATAAGGAGAAGGGTGGGAAATTAGGTCAGGTTTAAAATAACCCATTGGGTTCTGCTTGGCTTCACCCCCCCAGGGCAGCCGGCAGCTTCTGCTTTCACTCTGAATCAGCCCCAGTGGGAGCCCAGAGCAGGAGGGAGACCTTGGGGTGGGACGGGGACCAGGGCAGCACTGCGGGACTGGCACTGCCCAGCACCCACCCCAGGGACACCTCCCACCCTGGGGACGCATCCTGCCTCAGCTGGACCGTGTCTGGGATTCCTGTTATTGTAGGGATGGGCAGAGCGCATCGCTCACCAGGTGGAGGGCAGAGCTGGAGATGGAAAGGGGCGGTGGGGGGCACAGAGAGCGGGAGGGACGGAGAGACGGCTGGGGGGAAATATGGGGAGGGCTGGGGGAACACACTGCCCTGCCAGGTGCAAAGTAGAGATGCACCACAGGAGATACAACCTGGGCAGCAAACCCTGCAGAGCCACCCAGGGGTCTCCTCGAGGGACAAGCAGAGCCCCATAACAACAGCACTGCACCCCAACGCCTGAGCAGGGGCAGCGTGCCTCAGCTCCTGGCCCCAGAAGCAGCAGGGCCAGAGCAGAGGGATTTCTCTCCCTTCCCAGCACCTCCAGCACGCTGCAGCAACACGGTTATTTCTGGCCCTTCCTCGCTTCTCCTCCGGGGGTGTTATTTCAGCAGCCTGCTCCTCCCTCACCCCGGCAGCACTCAGCAATCACTGCGGCCGGAGCTGCCCCGGCGACACCGACCCTGCGGCACTGTGCGCGGCCCCAGCGCTGCCCTTTGGCCCCTCAGCGGCCGCAGACAACAGCTGATAAAGGAGCCGGCATCGGCTGCTCAGCAACTGCTGTGTGCTCGGCCGTGCCACCCCGGTGCTGCTCTACAACACACGCAGGGGACTGGCAGCCAGGAGCACCCTGCTCCCAGTGCCACCGCTGCCCCATCCCCAAGCACGCCTCTGGGCTCAGGAGTGCCTGGATGGCAAAGTGAAGCAGCTTAAGAAGCGGGGATTAAAAATAAAATGTGCCACAGGGCAGCTTTCAGATGCAGCCCCTGGAAGGATCACGCTGCCCTCTGCAGCAAAGCAGCACCCACACTGCCAGCAGTGCATGCAGCAAGCACGGCATCTCCTCCTCAGGAAAAACGTGGAGGAGCAGAGGGAGCAACGCTGCACTGCTGTACCCCTCTGCCTCAGCGCAGAGCCCGGCACGCAGGCAGCCCCGACCCCAGGCATGTCAGGAAAGTGAGCAGCCCCCAGCCCCAGTGCTGCTCCACTGACAAGCACGAGTGCTGAGAAAAGGAAATGGAGAAGGAAGAAGTGAAAGCAGCTCTGCTCCTTGCTGCGGGTGCCTGCCAAGCCTTCCTTCCTGGTTCTGATTTTTCAACGTGTTGGTGTGGGGCAGATGTGGGGGGCAGAGGGCAAGAAACCCCCCTACATGCCCCAGCCTGGCCCCATGGCAGCACTGCGGGTGATGTGGGGGGGCACAGCGCCGCTCGGCCCCCACTGGGATGCGCTCCTGCAGCACCAGGCGCTCCCTGCTCCCACCCCACGGCTTTGCTGCAGCCTTGTTCTGGGTGCAGAGTGGCAATGATGGCACCCAGCCGACCCCACACCAGCACAGCCGCCAGGGCCAGGCGGGAAGGGGAAAGCATTACCTGGGTAGGGGGCGATGGGGGGGTTTAGGGGGTCTCCGGACACCAGGACTGGCCGGTCACAGCTGCTCCGCGCTCCTCCCTGCCCTGCCCGGCTCCGTGGTTCCTCATTTTTAGGACCCTGCTTTTAACGTGACAGCAGCGCGGGCGGAGGAAGTTGCAAAAAAGGCCCCGGAGCCGCTCGCTGTGCTCAGTGCCGTGCTGCAGTCAGCAACACCAGCAGGGCAGAGAGGGACAAAAATAGACGCCGCCACTGCCGCCCGCTGTTGGCTCTGCCCCACGCAGCCCCTCGGGTGACATCCCCTCCTGCAAGCACGGGCGCAGGGACAGACGCTGCCGCTGCCCTCTGAGGGATTGGCACTGGGGGTCCCCCTCCCACTGATCACTGCACCAGGACAGCCATGCTGCCTCCAGCCAGCGCGGCCCTGACAAAGCTGGAGGTCGACAAGGACGCGTGGGTGATGCCCCACATCCCCTCCTTCTACAAAGCCTCCTGGCACCACCTCCCCTTTGTGCTGACAGCACCCATGGGGCTGCATTCCACCATGAGACCAGCTGCAGCTCCAGCATCCCCATCAACCCTGTGGGATGCTGCACACACACCTCCCTGCAGCCCCACGGGCGAGCCCCCAGGGAGACTGTGCCACCTCCATGCCATGCTGCCAGCAATGCAGGCTGGCACCTGGCAGCTGCCATACAGTTGGGACTGGCCCGCTGCCTCCCCTCACCCCAGCTTGGCTGTGTGGCTGCTGTTGGGTCGGGTGACACTGGCACCTGGTGGGAGGAAGGTCAGGGCCCTTCGTCTTCATCAGCACATGGAGGAGCACGGCTCTGCTCTGTGCACTGCATGTCCTGGGATGGGGTCTGGAGGTGAGCACTCTCCATCCTTAGAGGCACCCGGTGCTCAAACCACCCTCAGCCCTAAGCACACCGATCCAGCACCAACACAGCTCCGCTCGAGGCTGAACCAAAGGTCCCGTGCCCACCCAGCCCTCAAGGTTGAGGGTGGGAAGTAAGAAGCGGGAGCAGCGCCGTTCCCAGAGCACAGCAGTGCCCTCGGAGATGGAGCAGCAGGTGGACGGCGGAGCCCCAGCCCCAGCATGCAGCCCTGAAAGGGAGAAGGCGAAGGGGGGAACTTGGCACATCGCACCCGGAGTCAGTTGACAACACCAGTGAGCAACTGAGTCACCAGCACTGTTTTTAGCCCCGGCATTTCAGCAATGTGGACCACGGCGCTGTTAACAGGCGCGTGGGTCAGAGGCCAAATGTTTTCCCTTCCATGCGTTAAATGCTGCTCTTGGAAGCAGCCCAGATATTTAGTGCAGTAAAAACATTAACGGAGCTGTGGGTGACAGCGGCACTCCAGGAGCCCTCACCCCAGCGAGGAGCTGTCGGGGACCAAAAAGCATCAGTGTTTGAGCCAGGGCTGCGCATCTCTCATCACAGCAAGGCTGAGGTGGCACCAAGGGCACCCACAGGAGCTGCGTTCCCACCGGTACATGCAGTTAACTTCTACGGGGTTCATAACGCCCTGCTCCTCCACCCCAAAAGGTGCGAGGCGGCACCAGACAGTGGCTGGCACAACAGGACGGTGGTTGGCACAATGGAACCAACCCTGCGGGCGCTGCTGGGACCTCGCCGCTGCCTCCAGAGCAGAGCCAAAGCTGCAGGAGTGCAGCACTGATTGAAACATCACTGTCCGACTGACCGCCGCGGGAATTCACAGCCCGCCCGCGCACAGCCCGAGCCGACAAGTTCCTGCCCTCCCCTCCCCTCCCATCCGAGCAGGGAGGCAATTAAAAATAAAAGCAGTAACAGGCAGAAGGACGTTCCTAGGGTGAAGACGAGCCAACAGCAGTGCCTGGCACCACCTGGGCTGAGTGATCCATCCGCAGCGGAGAGGGGAGAATGGCGTGACCTTGGGGAGGCCCTGGGGTGGGGGGAGGACAAGGAGGAACTGGGCTCCAAAAAGCGGAGCAGAGCCCATCCTGGGGGACCACCAACAACCGCAGGGTGCTGCTGCCTTGGGGTTACTTGGCAAAGTGCATCGATAAGCAATAGGGGAACCTGGCAGCACAGCGCTGTCCCCAGCTCCACACCTTGGGGTGCACGCAGAGCAGACACAACGCGCCACCTCCCCAAACCCCACATTGCAGGGCTGCCCCGAACCACCGCAGTGCTGGGAAAGGGGTGACCACACTCCAGTGCCCCCCGGGCACTGCCAGCCCACCCCCAACCCCAGCCCTTCCCACCCCCCCCCGGCTCCCAGGAGGAACATTTATAAATACGCCACGTCCCGCCTGGAGCCGCGTCCCGGAGCCTCATGTAACCAAACCGGCCGCCCCACGCCGCGGCCGCCCCAGCCCAGAGCTGCAGCTGTTCTCCAGCCCCAGCAATAAACACGACAGGGACAGGCTGTGCCATGTCCTGCCCAGGGCCCGGGGCTCTCCCTGACACCAGCCCCACTCACAGCCGCTCACCGCAGCAGGGATGTGGGTCCCACGTGCTCTGCGAAGGTCACGCGCGGAGCCCCGCTGTGAAGGCAGCCCCGTCCTGCAACAGTTTCTCAGCCCCACACCACAGTCACACCGGTTTGGGCACGGAGCAGCTGAGAGGCGCTGCCCCAGTAGGCTGGGTTTATCCAAGTGAAATCTTCGCCTGCAGCGGGAGCGGGGAGCTGCAGCCCGCGGCCTGGAGCGGGGAGCAGAGCAGTGCCAGCTGTGTTGGGTGCTGCCAGGACCAACCTGACCCCACGCTGTGAGCCATAAGCAGGGCACGCAGCCCAATGCACTCTCCTCACCCTGTGCCATTCCTCCTCGGTCTGTGTCAAAGCCACCATCCCCTGCAGACAGCCCATCCTGGAGCATCCGACATCAGGAACAGCTCCTGCTCCCGGGGCCCCCGCTCCCATCCTGCTCCCACCGCCTGGCCGTGCATTCTGGCACCCGAGAGGCAGCACAGCAGCTGCACAAATTGCACCTGAGGCTCAGCCCTGCGCCAAGAGGGGAATTTACAACCAAGGTGTCCCCAGCACAGCGCTGCGAAAGGATGGGGAGAGGAGCAGGGCAAGAGAGAGGGCACAGCCAGCAGGAAGCGCTTCTTCACTGCCTTCAGCTCCACAGCTGTTCATGCAAGAAGTAAATCACTTTCATTAATGTCATGCATGCAGTAAGGAAGGGAAAAAAGGGCGACGTCGGGGCCTTTCAGGTTTATCCAGTGAGAAAGTTGCACTGATTTAACTACAAGAGATCTCAGGCTGTGGGACGGGGGGAGGGACAACACCCCAGTGAGTGGGGCTCGGGCCCAGGTGGCACAGCGAAGGCTGTTGGACCAGTGAGGGGATGCAGACGTGTCTCCTACAGCTGCTGCTGGATGCCCCGTGCCAGGATGCACACTGCCAGCCCCCAGAGCAAACAGAGCAGGGGACAATGCAGCCACTACGGGTCAGCATCACAGCACCACGACCACAGGGCTCCCCAGGGGACAATACCCACATGAGGACAGAGATGCACACACCAAGACCACCGAGAGCTGTGGGGCGGACGCTGCTGCCTGCAGTGCACCTGTATTTTTGGGGAGTGCATCCCCACCGTGCCCTCCCCAGCCCCGGAGGTGCCCTGCTGTGATGTGTCACTGCTCTGCATGCCTGAGATCCCCCCCTCTGCGCTGAGAGCATCGCAGAAACCACAGCACAGCAGAGGACACAGGCCAGCAGCTCACAGCACAGAAAGGAAAGAACACAGTGGCAGTGCAACTGTGCCCCAAAACACCCGGATATGGGGTCACCCCACCCCGACCCCACCCCAAGCAGTTTCCTCCTGATAAGGGTGGGAGGCGATGGCGGCATCCCTCCGAAAACAGCGGGGTCAGCACGTGCTGCTCACTGCCACACGGTGCTCCGAGCCCCACTGCACAGCCCACACCCTGCAGGGTGCCCCCCGAGCTCTATGCAGAGTCCCACCCCACAGAGCTCAGCGCAGCCCCCCCCCCCCCCCAGAGATCAGCACATTGGGTCTCCTCCCCCATCCCCAAGCTCAGCACAATGCGTGTCCCCCCCATAGCTCAGCATAGGGTCCCACTCCCAAAATTCCACATAGTGTGTCCCCTCCATGGCTCAGCACAGTGTGCCACCCCCCAATATCTCAGCACAGGGTCCATCCCCACATTACAGTTCAGCACAAGGTGACCCCCCAGGACTCAGCACTGTGAGCCCCCCCTCCCAAAGCTCAGCATAGGGTCCCATCCCCCCCCATAGCTCAGCACAGGGTCCCCCCCC